AGCGGAGTCTTTGTACTTGGCGTGCCACGAAGCTTCCTCTGAAATCCCTAATTGGGCTTCTCTGGAATTGATGTTCTGAATTCGTTTCACTAGGGTTAGCGGGTTCATTGCTTAAGTTCAACAAAATTTTGTGCTTCTCCCTTCTCTCTCGGGGTCTCCTGGGTTGAACTTAAACCCTAAGTTTTGCCAAAATTCTTCTACACTGTTTCGAAGATGAGCGGATCTCCACGCGGGTCTTATTGGGCTTGGATTCTTTCTCAATCTGAGCCCATCTGGCCGATTAGAGTATCCAATAATATAACCCCCCCAAAAAAAAAAAAAAAAATAAAAATTGTTGAAGTCGATTGCTATTCACGCGCGCGCGCACACACACACACACAATAATTTGATAACTATAACCAAAATCAAACATAATAAAATTAATAGAAAATTAAAAGTTCACGTCTCATGCACACAAAAAACCATTTGAGAGACAAATTCAAGATTCTAAAATAGAGTGGAATAAATTTATTACAAATTTATAAATAAACCCAATCCTAGACATGTATTTATAAAAAAAACCCAAGCACTATTTAAACATAGAAACACACCCAAAATTAACCCCAAAGTCAACTTTTTTTGGGTGTGTTTATAAATGAGTTTTGAGTGTGTGTAATGATGGGGTTTGGGTGTGTTTATATGTTTAAATAGTGCTTGGGTTTTTTTATAATTTCAACCCCCATTTTGGGTGTTTTAGTGAAACTCCCTAAATTTATCTTACGGGAAGAAGCTGCATGTGAAGAATGTTATGAGTAGACTCTTCCACATCGTAACCCTGTTGCTTGAACATTACTATAAGAACTATAATGACAAAAATCCTACTTTAGCTACAGCACTAGAGCAGGCGATGATCACTTAGAAAACAATGCCCATAGCTCAATCATGGATCAGCATATGTAAAAAGTGTGTCGAAAAAAAAAAAACAATGTGATCCTTATTTAACAGTCGAATTTGCTGTCTGATTTTGATGTCGTATATATGCCAAGAATGGCCTCAAACCAGTTTCACAACTCATAAACTTTTAAAGGAGAAGGGCGGGAAACATATCTGATCTATCTATCTCACATGCCATGCACCAAGACGACACACAGACCACGCCAACCCTGCAATCATCTCTTTTTTTTTCCCCAAAACTTTTTGAGAATATATGGGCCCAGCTTTAGCTGGATAATAAAGCCAAACATTGTCTCACTTTTTCTTCTTTCTTCACTTGTTGTATGAACAATAACCTCCACCACACCGAACTTCTTTTCTACACTTAATTTATATTCCAAGTTTTCAACTTCATTATTAAATCATCATTCTTTTAAAGGGTCAAAAGCATTAGGAGGAATATACTCCTACTGTCTTCTTCTGTTCCCTCACTGCAAATAAGATCCAACAGACAACCCATTTCACGCAATCCTCCAAAAACCAAAATTGTGCAGAAATATTAACCAGGTAAGTAAGAATTTCTCACTCAATCTTGGTTTTCTCTGTTTTTTTTCCTTAATTTTTTTAATCTTGTGTTTGTGACTTTGTATGAATGCAATATATCAAGAGTCAATATTGATTTTCTATCTGGGATGAGCCCATCTGTTATGATGTTTTGCTTTACACATTGTGCCTCATGTATTGCCTGTTTTAGAACTACTGAAAATTCAGTGACTGGACTGCAGAAATTACCGTGCATTTAGTGGTTGTTTAGTGGAGTGTCAAGGGCATGAAAGGCAATGTCTATTTATGCTAAAGACACAGATCCAGCATTCCAGGCTGCAGGAGCAAAGCTGTATCCTTCCTTATAAATGATTTTATTTCATTCTTACCTTGTAATCAAGATCTTGTCTTATGTGAAATTTGTTGGTTTACCACTGTTCCCGAAAGCGTAAGCTGCTAGGAACATACATACTGTCCTCATAGAAAATTATGTTGTTGTCAGTATCCAATTAAGTAAAATTGTTAATGAATTGGTAGATTTTCTTATAGCTAGCAATAACTAATGGAAACATACAATCTTCATACATCTTGTGTTCAAATTCATTGCTTTATCCTTACCCTGCTTATGCTAGTGGTTTGGAAATTTGGTGTGTTGAGAATCTAAAATTGGTTTCTGTTCCAAAATCTTCACATGGGAGGTTCTATTCTGGAAGTGCGTATGTAATTTTAAATGTAAGTTGTTGGCACATTGTGTTCATTTTATTGGCATATAGTTTTCTTTTAGCCATGCACAAATTCAACTGAACTTTTCCGGACAATTAGTCTAAGAATTTCTTCACAATACTATATCTTCAAAATTGAAGTTGATCCAGAACAATGTAATCTTCTTAGAAAGTTGCAACTGTACTGGTGGATTATCTGTGCTATCTAGTAGAGCTACCTATCTGGGTATGCAATGAGTTTAACTATTTCACTTGTTTATCATGACAGACAGTTCTACCAAAAAGTGGCCTTCCT